TCAGTGAGATAACTTTACAAACAGAAAGATAGAGATAATGAAGAATTCCGGAGGTTAGAATTTGAGAGAACACAAAAAATATATGCACTTGGGCCATTGCACACGATTTTGAGCAATATTGTTTAAGGTCTCTAACCGCCGATTGCTATCGCTTCGCGAACCCCAACCAGGTAGTCTACATCTACCAACATGACTCAGTCCACTTGTCAGCGACTTCATGGATTTGTGCCATGTTTTGGATTGGTCGTCCCTTAACTTTCTGCCACCCCTACCTAGTAAGCATTTCCTAACAACAGCATTACTTACTCGGTTGTCCCAGGATACATGAGTAATGCTCCTAAGACACCTATAATCGAATACTAATAACCTACGAATGTCTTCTACTCTTACCGGCCATGTTTCGCATCCATATATATAGTAGGACCGAGCGAACTGCTGCGCAGTACACTCGCCCTTTAGTCAGCAAACCTATATCTCACCTGCGCCATAGGTAACAGCGCAACCGTTGAAAGTTGAGTACTTCATGATAAACTATAACTTGTCTACTTGTATACCGGTATTTCAATGAGGTTAACATGAAAACCACGTAAAATACGAACGAAAATCACAAGTATTATTCAAGATTAATACAACGCTAAGGTGAATAAACTTTGACAAAGAAAGATTTCATTTAAAAAAATATATAATTTCGATAGAGACATTGTTTTATACAGTGAAAGAATCCGTTAAATAGTTTGTGATACATATATATTTTTTGCTTCAAATTAAACTGCAGTGCAATGGACCGTAAAAGTTGAATGTGTTGGTCTTGTGTGTGTGTCGGTTATATTAAGTAGAAAAGATTGGAATTTACAATAGCACCATATTATTTCATGACAATTTTCTACGTAAGTGTATGTAATGGACTGATTCGTGTAAATGAAAGAGTATAGCGTGGAGAAAATAAACACACACACACGAACACACACAAAGCATAGTTTGCATATAAATGAGAGGATACGTCATCAAGACAATGTAATGAAATGCCTCCACCACACACACACACACGCATATGGATAGACAACAATAGTTTATGCTTTTATATATCATGTCGGATTCGAAATATCAACTACACTTTATCGATTTGACAAACCAAGTGTCGCGTTAACAAATGCACACTAATGTGTGGTGCACATACTCTTCAACACAAAGACGAAAGAGATGAAGGCATAAAACCGAAATTATTGTTGATACTAACACACTACGATGTATGACGACATAAAATGTAAATGTCATTTTTTAGTCAGTTAGGAGACTTTGAAGAGGAGAGAAATGCAACAATAGATTGCTTTAGCCTATTTTCCATTTCTGATATTATATTAAGGCGATGATGTTGAGAGAGAGAGAGAGAAAGAGAGTGCATCAAAACCAATTTTGATAATAACAACTGTGTGATGGGGTTATGGATGACAACTCTGCAGTTTCTATATAATGATGATGAAATAGCTGCACCCACAGTGTCTCTCAACTTCTAGTGGTTGTGTTGACGAAAGCCAGTTCGGATTTAAATCATAAATTCGATAATGCCTGTTAATCTCTTTAAGCCAATAACTGAAAAAAAACCATTGAAAATCAAGTAGTGGTAAACAGATGTTTGCTTTCAAGGAATGATACCGCTAATAAAAAACACACGAGCACTGCTGGTGTATACGGGGACAAACGAGTATTAGGTAGGGACGGCAGATCAATAGATGAACTATTGAAACTTCATCACCTGAGGTGGTTGGGACAATGTTGCGTACGCCTAACCACAGACTGCCTCGTCGAGCTATGCTTTGCAATGTAGGAATAGGTTGGGAGAAAGCTGGGGTTGGCCAAATCAAAATATGGCACAAATCCATGAAGTCACTGACAAGTAGACTAAGTCATGTTGGTAGGTGTCGAAGACTTGGTTGGGGTCTGCGAGACAATAGTAACCGATGGGTTAGAGACCTTGAATGACATGGCTCAAAATCGTTTGCAATGGTGCAGATGCATTCATTCTTTGTGTTCTCTCGAATCCTAACCTTTAGAGTTCCTCATCGCCTTTATCTTTTTCTTTTTAACGTTGATTTCACTAGATTCTACTTCTTGAATAATATCTTCGAAGCCTAATCTCTTCGATGATTGCTGATACTTCTACCACTACTTCTCTACCACTGTAGGATTTGAACTGACAATCGCATCTCTGTGCTGACAGGGTATGGCAACTTGAACTGATGCACATACGTACGTACGAAGTTCTATGTCGTTATTAACTGACTGACCACTAATCAATAAACACTTCACGGCTCAACAAAGGATTACACATAGGACCTCCAAATTCAACAGCCAGGAAAACAAAACCAGTTAACTACTGAATCAGAATAATAATGCCTTGAATATTTTAAACGTTGGTCATTTCGTGATGTAATACAATTAAAGTTGAGTGCGACAATTTTCTGGCCTTTACAATCAATACAAATGGCGAGCTCACTAATAGAACCATAGTTCTACACACATGTAAGCCAACAGAATTTTGCAGTAGTCAGATTAACAAACAGTTCTGGATTAAATAAACTGAGAAGACTAAAGTGTAGTACGAAATTAATTACTGAATATAGTTTATTGTAAAACATCCTATTACTATTGAAGGTAGAGAGACTTAAAGTTTAGAATAAATTTCAGTTCCGAAACCCGTGTCAAATTGAGAGATAGCTTAGGACTTAAGGTACTTTGTTTGCAATCAGTAGATCGCTGGCTCGAAATTTGTCACACGTACCTAGTTTTGAGCAGCCAAATAGAATCACTGCCCCTTAAACACAGACAATGTACCTAAAAGCTGAGTACATATGTCCGTACTCGGTAACTATTTGATAACTATTTACCTAACCTTCATAACTCCATTGCACTAAAGAAAAAAATGTACATTAGACCATGAAGTTATGACAGTACACTACAAACAGTGAAATCTGTTGTACCGTACGGTTGTCAAAAATGGATCTCTATAAAAAGTGTAACTTTTTATTAACCTGTTATCAACCTGTTCAGTATGTTCTGTATGTACTTGGATAATTCCATGGGCGCTTGAGCGTGTTGACCGCGTCACTTATCTCGGCAGTCTTATGGGCGCCGAAGGACTTGTGACTGACAAAATCACAACATGAATACAGAAGGCTCGACTGGCTTTCGCCAACTTGCGTCACTTATGCAGTAGACAAGACATTCGCTTGCTCACGAAAGGACGAATCTACTGCGAAGCTGTTTGCCCCGTCCTACTTTATGGCAGTGAAACATGATCGGTAAGAGTTCGATCATAGATGCCTTTAGAGTATCGCTCGCGTATTCTGGGACAAACGAGTAAGCTATGCTGTTGTTAGGAAAATGGTATTAGGTAGGGATGGCAAACCGATTAATGAAGTATTGAATCTGCATCGAATGACGTGGTTTGGACATGTGTTATGTATGCCTAACCACCGAGTGCCTTGACGAGCCATGTTTTGTGGTGTAGGAGTAGGTTGGAAGAAAGTTAGGGGTGGCCAGACCAAAACATGGCACAAATCCATGAAGTCACTGACTAGTGTACTGAGTCATGTTGGTAGATGTAGGCTATCTGGTTTGGGTCTGAGAGATGAAAGTCACCAATGGTTAGAGACCTTGAACGACATGACTCAAAATCGTTTGCAATGGCGCAGGTGCATCCACTCTTTGAGCTCTCTCAAATCCTAATCTTCTGGATTCGTCTGCACCTCTACCTTTGTCTTTCTAACCTTATCTCACTGAATCATACTTCTTGAATAATATCTTCGAACCCTAGTCTTCTTTATTACCATTAATACCTCTACTATCTCTACCACTATGGGTTTTGAATTGATAATTGCGTCTCTGGGCTAATGTGGTATGGCAACTAGAACTGATGTACGTACATATGCACGAACTCCTACGTTGTAACTGACTAACCGATGGGCTAATATGAAATAAGGATTCTTTGAATGGATTTGGTCAAATGAAAGTAAAAAAGAAATACCAACTAATGCGCTAAATTTGTACGATGAACATGAGCACAAAATTAGCAAAATAGACATAGAATAATGAGTGACTTGTTGATGAGGGATTATGAAATGGTTTCAAAATTCCCTAGTGCGTAAAGCTTCAATGAACAAATTCACATAAACACAGAGTTTTAAAACTAGCATTAACTAGTATTTTCTAATTTTTCGTTTCATTTTGAGTGAAAATAAGCGAACTTTGAATCCGACAATCGAGTCACAACATAGTTAATGATTACTCTGCTGGTTGATTGTTAGACGTTACAAAACACTTATTTGACGACATGTTCAATGTGATAGGTTTATTTACGTTACTATTGATCAACAAACAGTACATTGCAAGGGTATTTACATAAGTAATTTCCGGTTTTGAATCATGAACAAAGATTTAGAGTTATGGAGATTAGTGTTTTTACACATTTGAAATCATCAATCAATCATTGTTAGACTGCCACCATTAGAAACCTGGAAGCACTGAAAGATGGCCGTTTCGTTCTGGTATGGGACTCATCAGTGGCAGTGCGCATCCACGACTCCTGCATGTCGCAGGATTCGAACTCAGGACCTTCCTTATTGTGCACGAACGCCTAACCATTGAACCACTGGGTCGGCATCTAACGGTGTTAATGTCTAACTATGATTGATCTAGGGATTTTGCGCGACCTCACCCTTAATTGTCTTTGGTAGTTACTGACTACACCCGACAGGGTTGAACTACACTGGTCACGTCTCCTCACTAGAAGAACTCCGAGAATTTCCTCACGAAGCTAGTAGTCACTAATGAGCACATTTTACGATATTTTCAATTAGAGTTATGGAGATTAGTGTTTTTGACACATTTGAAATCATCATTTTATTGGTAAAAATATGCAGTGACGAGTAATCGTAAACAATAACAACATTGATTTTAACGAGATGAAAAAAAAATATGAAAAGACATCAACTTAAACTTACTAGAAATGCATAATGACATGCAACCAACCATTCACTGGATGCTTTCACCATCACATCACGTTCTTCCCAATAACCCGATTGACTATGATCTAATAAATGTTGTTTACTCATTAATTTTATGGCATAAACACGTCGTGTACGTTTGTGTCTGGCTAATTCAACTCGACCAAAACCGCCTTGTCCAATCACTTTGATTAATTCAAAATCATTATATTTTGTTCGACGTGATTCAATAATTTTAGCAGCTTGACTATATCTGTAAATGAAGGAAAAAAATTTTTTTGTTGTTGAATAAATTACACTGGGGTAATAATGCTAATTTGAGTGGTTCAGAGGTTAGGCGTTCGTGCGCAAGACCAAAGATCCCAAGTTCGAATCATGCGAGGTGCAGGAGTCGTGGATGCGCATTGCCACTGATGAGTCCCATACCAGGACGAAACGGCAGTCCAGTGCTTCCAGGTTTCTAATGGTGGTAGTCTAACAATGACTGATTAGTGATTCTCAAATGTGTAATTTGAGAATCATAAAGTGATATGAATGAATGAATCTGCAACAAATAACTTGAAATATATGTAAAATATTTAGAGGAAAATTAACTGTGCATTCGACAGATAAATTCAACAGTCACACAGTCTAAATTCCAGTGAATGAGTTTCAGGTTCGAGTCGCCAGTAACTGCTAATGTTTGAGTAGACAGATAGCAGTTACTTGACATAAAGTTTCTCACAGACAACTTTACAAGGCTGTAGTACATGATTACTGAGCTATACTACACTGTGACATAATATTTTTTGATACCTCACTACCTGTAATCAAGATTATTTTTTCATGAATAAATAAAACTACAAAATATTAATCAAGTTAGTTTTCCATTAAAACAATCGCTTAGATTTTCAGAATCCACATAAGGTGTGAGTTAGTGATAATTTAAACATTTGTGCACTTGTGTGCGAGCTATAATTAATATTTGAAGGTTTTATTATGAGTGAGGAAATATTATTTCACTAATTCAGACAGTTAACACCGCCTGGAGCCCCCTCTGGGGCTAGTGCCGGTCCAAGGTCCGGATAAACGAGGAGGGTTGGGAATGGGGTTGGCGTCCCCATCCCATGAAAAACTAACTCGCTAAAAAGACGCTGACCAAAAAAAAATCCAAACCATTTCAACTTCGCCTTGGGAGTAAGGTCTTCTTTAAGATTTATGGCATCTCATGATGAAAGCCGAGTTCCTTCAGGAGTCCAGGAGACCTATGACCCTTCCGACAACCAGAGCAACCATTCTTTTAGGCACATAGAATGTCCGAACATGGTGGGAGATCGGAAGACTATTCGAAGTTACTGCAGAGATGGAAAGATACAACCCGGAGGTGCTTGGAAACGCATTGGACGCAGGTAGGACAACTGAGACTAACTTCAGGAGAGCTGTTGTTGTAGTGCGACCATGAAGAAGAAAATACCTCACATACACAAGGAGTTGTACTGATGCTGTGCAAACAAATACAAAAGGCACTGATAGGATAGGAATCTCATGGATCCAGGATCATGAAAGCATCCTTCAGACATTACAATGAACGTCATCCAACGACTACAATGACGACATTAAAGATCACTTCTATGAAAGGGTGCAATCAATCGTCGACAGATGCTAATCAAACGATTTGACGATTCTAATGGGAGACCTAAATGTCAAGGTTGGTATGAACGACAACAGATATGAAGATATTATGGGACGACATGGACTGGGAGAAAGGAACGAAAGCGGTGAGAGATTCGCAAACCTAAGTGCCTTCATAAACTGGCCGTCGGTGGCACAGTTTTCCCGCACAAGCGCATACACAAACCCACATAGATTCCACCGTACAACACTACACAAAACCAAATCTACCATATCTGTATCAATAAAATGTTAAGATGGACTATGGAGGATGTGAGAACCACGAGAGGAGCTGATATAGCCTCAGATCACCACTTGCTGGTAGCTAAAATGAAACTGAAACTCAAGAAACACTGGAGAACGCGACAGACATCACACAAGTTTAAAACAGCTTTTCTTCGGGATACCGTAAAACTCAATGAATTTAAGATAGCCCTCACCAATAGGTTCCAGGCCTTGCAGGATCTACTCAATGGAGAGGAAGCAACATTGGAGAACAATTGGAAAGGGATCAAGGAGGCAACCACTTCAACATGTCACAGGTTCTGAGCAACAACAAATACCTTCACGAAGAATGGATCTCTGTCGGTACTCTTGAAAAAATTCAAGAAAGGAGGAACAAGAAGGCAGCAACCAACATCAGCCGAACAAGAGTGAAGAAAGCCAAGGCACAAACTGAATACACAGAAGCGAACAAGCAAGTGAAGAGGAGCATCAGAGCCGACAAACGTAAATATGTGGAAGATCTAGCAATGACGGCAGAAAAGGCTGCAAGACAGATACAACGCAGAACTTCGTACGTACGTACATCAGTTCAGGTTGCCATGCCCCATCGGCACAGAGACGCAGCTGTCAGTTCAAATCCAAGAGTGACAGCAATAATAGAAGTATTAGCAGTAATGGAGAAGATTAGGGAGCGAAGATATGATTCGAGAAGTATAAATCAGTAAGATAAATTTAGAAGGAGAAAAGTAGAGATTATGAGGAATTCAGAATATTAGAGTTTGAGAGGACACAAACAGTTGATGCACCTGCACTTGCGTCGGAAAAGTTGTCTAATGTTGCTTATCGCCGCTGCCTTTACCATCGCTTTTGCTTTCGCAACCCACCACTGTTCGCGGCCATTACGCAGGCTTTTTATCAGCCTGCCCTTAAGTTGACTTCGTTCTTCATCGTGTTCAGAGCCAGATGGGATCAGTTTTTGGGCATCCATCAGTTCCGTGGATGCTACAGAGAACCACGGTTTCATCCTAGCCTTACGGTTAACCTTACTAGCAGATATCACTGCTGTTTCCACAGCCTTTTTGATGTCGTTCCAACATGCCTCCGGATCGGAATCGCTTACATGATTGCCAAACTCTCTTTCTAGTTGTTCTTGAAACATATTCTTCTCCCTAGTATCATTAGGTGAAACCCTAAAATGCTTCCTTACGTTGTCTTTCCTACGTCCAGCAAGCCTCGAACAAATACGAGCTCGCACTAGAGCATGATCTGAATCTAAACATGTGCCCCACAACGAGGGACATTCTTCTATCGAACCCCTCCATCGGTGGCTGATGGCGATGTGATCTAGTTGGGTTCAACATTTACACGATTTCGGGGGTCGCCAGGTCAAAAGGTGCTTTTCCTTATGCATGAAGTTAGTGTTTGCTAAGAATAGGCGGTTATCTGAGCATACCTGCAACAAACGGTCGCCATTGTCTGTTCTCTCAGTCGCTACACCATAACATCCACCAACGTGTCTCTCCTGCTCACTTAGTCTACCCACCTGAGCATTAAAGTCACCAGCCATTATTACTACATCAGAGTGCTTAACATTTTTGAGGAGGTCCGAAAGCTTTCTGTAAAACTCATCTTTCACCTCGTCTGAACTGCAGTCAGTGGGGGCATAGGCAGATACGACGAAGAGGCAACGACGGGTGTCCCTATCTTTACGAGTCCTTACTGTCCTGTTCAGTCGAACGGCGCACAAGCGACTCTCTACAGGGATCCAGTCTGGGAGCGCTGATTCTGCCCTACGACCCAATCCGATGCCTACGCCAGCGAGACCCCTAGAAGCGGCATCAGGGGTAACGTAAACACGAAGAGTAAATCGAGTTGTTTCTTTGTTTTGGCAAGGCAAAATCAGATTATTGATTTTACTAGGATACTGTATGCGCGTTCCCGAGACGCAGCATACATCGATTGAGCGCGATTCTAATGTTCTAGCTAAGGAAGCCTGTTGCCCTATTTGACATTAGGTACGTACATTAAATGCTCCAACATGTAGTCTAAAGCGGGGTTTCAGAAGACCAGAAATGACGTTTAGTGAGCTCGCATCCTTTGCATTAGCTGTGCAGTGTGATAAAGGAATGTGAGAAGAGTTAGTCGTGGAGATAAGAGAGGTATGTGTGGGTGTAGGAAGGATTTGATTTTGACCAATTTGGTCTCGTGTGCAGTTATGGGTATGAGGGCGGGTGTCACTTCCCGGCTGCCCACACCGTGGAAGGTTGTTTCTTGAGGAACCTGAAAAAGAAAGATAGATTAGTGTTGGTCTTAGAGACCTGGGAGCATAACCGCAGAGCCCAAGGGACAACTGCTTAAGGCCGGTCACGCACGGTCTTTTATGAGAAATTTTTTGAGCGTTAGCACCGCTCTTGAGAGCACTTAGTGAGCACCCTTACCCAAGGAGACGGAAATCCGTGAGGTAGGGTGAGAAGTGACATTTTTAGGGTCGACATTTTCTAACCCTTCCTTCCTTGTCAGAAGGCAGCATCGCTGCAGATGCTGGTTGTCTGAGGGAAACACCTTACTGCAGTCAGTAGTACAACTTCGCCCTCAGACTTTTAGTCTCATAGTTCTCCAATCGACCTGCCTGGCATGGTAGAACCTTCAGGAACATAAGTTCCAGCCAGTATAGCTCGGCTGGGTCATCACGGTAATCAAGCCCAACCACCACGTCAAGGTAGCAGCTACGGTCGGGAGGAGGAGGAACAAGAAGGCGGCAACCAACATCAGCCGAACAAGAGTGAAGAAAGCCAAGGCACAAACTGAATACACAGAAGCGGACAAGCAAGTGAAGAGGAGCATCAGAGCCGACGAACGTAAATATGTGGAAGATCTAGCAATGACGGCAGAAAAGGCTGCCAAAGAAGGAAACTTGAGACAATCGTATGATACCACTAAGAAGCTCGCTGGAAACCATCGTAAACCAGAACGATCAGTGAAAAGCAAAGTAGTCAGCAACACTGAAGAACAGCAAAACAGGTGGTTGGAGCACTTTGAAGAACCTTCGAATCGACCAGCCTACTGCGCCACCCGAAATCGAAGCAGCATCCGCGGATCTCCCAATCGATGTTGGCGCACCTACAATTGAAGAGATTAGCGTGACCATTAGACAAATGGAGAGCGACAGAGTGGCGGAACCAGACAACATCCCAGCACATGCAATGGAAGCAGATGTGGAAGCAACTGCGAAAGCATTCCACACTCTCTTCATAAAGGTTTGGGATGAGGAACAAGTACTGACAGAATGGAGAGAAGGATACCTAATCAAAATACCAAACCGAAAGGCGATCTCAGTATGTGTGAGAACTACAGCGGCATCACTCTTCTCGCAATACC